TGTTTGGCTCTTAGTTCTGTCAGTAAACTGTGGTCATCAGTGTGATATCCACTCTCCTGTGCTGCAGAGCTATGAAAGATAAAAGACTGGGCTGGAGTGGCAAAGTCTGTATTTGAACTGGTGTTTGTTTTGTACCATTTCAGGTACTGTGATTATTCATATGCGCTCTCTAACTTATCAGTGTGAGGATATGTGAGCTTAGAAAAGTATACTGTTACATTTAATCTAAGTGTTTATAAATTAAAAACGATGTCCAAAAGTATCTCTCTTGAGTATAAAATGTAGAAGATTAAGTTCCTATATTATCCAAGTACATGAAACCCTTTGTGAAAATATTGAATGAATCGTTCAATATGAATAGTTTGATATGAATAGGATATGAATAGTTTCAAAACACTGGGTAGCAGATGAAATTACCATAGATTTTCCTGGTTGTTGAAATCAGGATGGGACTGACTTACTAAATTAATTATGAGATATTTCTAGGGTAGGAATAAATAATCTTATCAAGCAAAGGAAATGTGTTGAAAGCTTGATCTAAAGAAAAAAACTTTGCGAAATAGCTTTGAAACCAGGGCCTTATCCTGACCTCTTATTATTTCCCCAAATGTTGATTCTCACCAGTGATCAGAAGTTGCACATTCAGTTCAGTCACTAAATCCTGTCAGTCCTGAGAGGAACTGTTAGGAAATTCCAGAGCTGCTCTGTCAAGGCCTTCAAAGAGGGGCTCATATTGTCCCCCATTTTGATAAAGAGAATGCAGAGAGATGGAGAGAGAGAGATAGTATAGTGGTTAGGAGCTTAGAATGGGCTCAGACTCACTTGGTTTGGAATAGAGCTGTATGAGCCACTTACAAATCTTGTGACCTTGGATAATTTAACCTTGTGGCCAGTTGCCTCATTGTCAAATAGTATAGCACTGACCTCTTGGGTTGCTGTAAACACAGATCTGGTCCTTAGTGAATCTGCAAATAGTAGTTGTTATTATTATATTCATTGCCAAGAATAATAAAATGGTTGTTTAATGCTGCTGTGTGATTTGTTTCATAGCAGTAGATAACAGAAATGGTTGGCTGAGTGTAATTCTGATCTTTTTGAGTTTATCGTTACTTATAAAGAGCAAGAGGAATTCACTGATTCTCTTGTATTTCAGTACAAGTTTTGGTATAGGGATAAAACAGGATTTCTTCAAAAAAAATGACTTTTTAGTTGGTTGGACTGGCATATCTGGTAATTGCTATTGGTTTTTATTGTTGTCGATATGGTAGAAGTGACTAAAGAAAAGGGAGAGGTTGACTTTTGTAAGAAGCATTTTTTAAGCAAAAGCCTAATTTCCTTGTAATCTGATTCTCTGGAAAGTGTACTCAAAGGATGATACTTTCAACCAGTTAGCATGCTTGCATTATAAACCTTTAAGAATTTCCTATGAAAGTGTGTCGGTCATCTTGATGCAGTGAATCCTGAATTGCTACTCATATGTTTGATATAATACGTTAACATAATTCAGGTGTGGGGAGGGGCGATTCATATTTCTCATTGCCTGTAGTCAAACATAAAGGTTTAAGGTAGATGCATATTTCAGTGAATATTTCCTGTACCTCGAGAAATTAAAACACCAGTAGATATTTTTGGCTTCTGAAGGAAAACCTTGTTTAAAATTAGGCCTATTAAATATTGACTGGCTGGCTCTTTATTACTCCATTTGTGGAAACTGGATGACCCACAGTCAGGAGGAGAGAGAGGAAAAGACCTGTATTAAAGGAGGAGGAGGGCAGATTGTACTGGTTGACCTGAAAGTCACCCCCATTCTCAGTTTTATGAGATATGATCATCGAACATCAGTCCCTTTCCTTCCTGCATATTCCATTCAAAATATTTTGATTTGGTAGGATCAATGACAGTTGTATTTATACAGCTTTTGACTAGGAGAGCTACTATCTGCTGGACAATTGTGTTGCCAAATTTTATTTGGCAAATAGGAATATCCACAATACCATTCTCATTCATTTTGCATGTACTTGGTCAACAGCCAGCTAATAAATCTAACAGTAGCTTTTGACTTAATAACACTTATACAAAACAAGTAACATAGGTGTATATGTGTGTGTACACATGTATATGATTATATGTACACATATAAATTATATTGGATTATATAGTATCAAAATGTTTGTTACAACATAAATATACAAAGAATACCATGTTACCGAAATTGATGACTTTGTAATTTTATTTACCTCTTGGGAATCATTTGAGCTATCGCTTCCATAACAAATGTGTTTTGATTAAGATCATGGCAAAATATGTTTGACAGCAATTTCAAATTATTGGAGTTTATTACATATTTAAAGTCTATAGTCAACTGGGACTGTATGTATCTGATTTTAGGTGAGAGAAATAAATTTAGCAATATTTTGTTCCAAGGACTGTATCCTCAATGCTGTATAGTTACCATGCGCTCTGTAAAAACCATACTCCTTCCTGGTTGGTCTAGAACACACTGTGATTCTCAGCACTTATGTTTATGCTGAACAGGGTTAGAATCATGAATACAGAGGTAAATATGCTTTATATGTATGTTTACGATATAACTTTCAGGCATATATACAGATCGAATCTGCATAGTTGAAAAAATTTAATAGTTAAGAATTGGCTCCTTAGCTGTGAACATTGTTATTTATGGTGTTAGTTATGGTTGTGGCTGTGGATGATCCTGGAAAATCAAGGAAAGAAATATTTCCAGGGAAAACTAAATTTCTTAAAAATTTTTGAAAATGTGTTGTATTTTTTTCACTTTTACATGAAACTATAGTGTGCATCCCGTTTTTAACATGTAGAATTATTCAAGAACAAGAGTCAAAGGGAAACCATCATGAAAATACAGTAATACTTAAATGTGCTCAATGGAACATGGAGCCAGTCAGATTTTCATGATTTATCAGTTTTTAACCTCAAAGACCCTGGTTAACTTGCATTTTTTAAACTAATGAGTTTATCACAGTCAGTGAGGAAAATGGTTAAAGTATATCAGCTGTAAATTGGTACAAAGCACTAAAAGGGACATTAACCTCTAATCAGATTCTAACAGTTCATTAAACCTGACTTTCCAGGATTGCTCTTTGTCTTTTCCCCTCCTTTGCAAGGCATCTCCTTCCCTTTTCGTCTGAACAAGACCTCCTCAGGGTAAGAAGCAATATCAACTCATCCTTCATTGTCTACCAGCCAAACAGCCTATGGGATGCTTTGTTACAATAGATTCTGGGCTGCTGTGAAAGGCAGGCCAGTTGAGGGCTGGTCGCTGCAGGTTTTCCTGAGCTGATCGTAGCAAACCAAGCTGGCCACTTCCAATCATGGAAGCAAGTGACACATTAGGATTTGAGATCCATGCCTGATGTGTAAACAACTCACCAGCCTCTATGGAAGGATTTTAAGCTTGGAACAAATTAAGTGAGCTCACCAGTGATATCACAGTTCTGTCACATCTAAGTTATCTATTAGGATACAAAAATCTTTTTAAAAAAATACAGACAAGTTATGAGCAAAACTTAAAAAAAATGTATCCTGCCAATTCTAATAATATTTTACATTTCTAAGAAAAGAACATGAGCGTAATTTGTTTCTTTTTTATTACCTAAGAGATTAAGTAGCATGGAATTTTTAAATGCCCATTAGTTAACTCTAGAGTAAATTTGCTTTTTCCTTCTTGTTGATTTTTCAGAGCAAATAGTTGTGATAAGAGGCACTATAAATTTTATTTCTTAGAGTATTTCTCTTAAACGAAAAGAGGAGTTAAAGACATAGAAATAATTAGAGCTTCACTATACTGCACTCTGTTGGTATTATTCGGTAATAAAAACATTTAATTTATGATTTGTTGAAGTGGGGTTGTTTTTATTTAACTGTTTGGTACAAAAATAACTACAATATGAAAGACGAAAACCCTGAAGGTTTACAAATAATATTAACCTCTGTCACTAGGTAGGCAAAGTATTTAGAAACATCTCTTTTTCTTTTGATGAGATTATTTTAGTGTCGTATGGTTACATTCTATACTTGAGTGAAGGGACTATTCTGCAAACTCAGTCAAATTCAGTCATTTCAGTTTCTCAGTTTAGTCAGTATATAAGGGTAAAGTTGGCATTCTACACGTTTTAACGCACGAGCTTGATTTTGGCCTTAAGCAAGCACTGACATGTGGCTCTCTGACTCCCTTCATAGGTTGACTTCAGAAAATCCCCAAAGCAGTAAAAATTAGTAGAAAGTAACCTTGATTTAATCTTTTTATAAATGTAGTTTGAAATTCCGTTGAGCCACATTAGAAAGGGTTTCCTTTCAAAATGTGTCGAATTGAGCCAAACATATAAAAGAATAAAATCAAATTGTTATTTATTCTTTGGTTGTGACTTCAGCTTAAGAATTAACTCTTAATCCAAGACTCAATGTCAGTTGTTTTTAATGTAGATGTTTGAGGGTGTTATGTAAAAATTTTCATTTGATTAGTATTGCCATGATACCAAAATTCAGTGTGTCTAGAATTATCTTGTTTTAAAAATTATTTAGACTTTGGCTATCGTATGTGAGTATATAAATCATTTTTATCTGTTTTCTCCTTTACGGATTTCTGTACATAATACAACCTCCAGAACTAAGGAAGAGAGAAAATTGCCTTATATTTCCTTCTACTATTGCAAAATTGTGATGAATTGTTCCAGCCTCATATAAATTAATGTAAGGTTTCCTTACTCCAGTTTATTATAGTCTGACCTATAACCCCTAAGGTCAGAGATTCAGACTGATTAATTCAACTTCTTGGTCATTATTTCAAATGGAAGTTCAGAATGAGGAGATAATTGGTTATGCTGGTATTTTCATTTAATTGTACTTCATTGTTAAAAAATTAGGTTAGCAGTACTAAATGTACTGCAGTAAAGGAAGACTACCAGATGTCCTCTTTTGAATGCTTTACAGCTGAATTTCCCTCTCTCTTTTTTTATTCTCAGAATATCAACACCTTTGAGAACAGAATGTTAATGCTTGATGGGATGCCGGCAGTCAGAGTCAAAACAGAGCTTTTGGAATCTGAACAAGGGGTAAGCAGAAGTTCCTGACACCGCCCACCTCCTTCTCTTTAAGATCGTGGCAGTCATTTCCTGAGATTGGTAGGACACTCCAGATTTTTCACTTGCCTAAGCTTTTCTCTATTGAGAAAAATCATCTAAGACTGTGGTTTGTTCTCATGCGTTTGCAACCTCAAATATTACTAACCAGGAAAAGGTAGCTGTTGGAAATTAGGAAGGTATAGTGACCTTATAAGAACCATATAGCTTTATTTAAATTGGTGAATGTTTTGAAAGGCTAATAAAAATCCAAAGCGAAGAGGAAGCATTAAAAAAATAAAATAGGAATATAACCTCAATGTCAATAACGTGGTTCTTTCTTAGGCAATTACAGAGTCCAGGAATGGGAAAGTTACTGTCTGTTGGGTGGATTTCTCTTTTGACATTTATATTTATCCTTTTTCACTCCATGAAGAGAGGGGACCATTGATGAAATTGTAGTCCATGAGTCTGAAAAGTGCATAAAAGCAAAAGAAAGCTTGTTTAACAGTGTATAGCCAAAATGACAATTTATGGCTACCAAAAATATAAAGGTTTATGAGCACAGCTAGATTTTTTTAAAAAAGATGTTAAAGATTATAGTTGTTAACATTTTAACATTTACAGCCTTACTAGTTAAAATCATAAGGGCAGTGTGATTGCTTGCAGCATCAGCTGACCACATTTTGTTTTTAAGAAAGCAAGCATTGCTCGTGTATCTGAGTGCACACTGCCTGCCTATCTTATTAAACCACCAACACCGTGGCAGTACAGATCTGAAAAAAGGACATAAATTATATAAATATTGCATCTTAATCTGATTAGTGTATCATATTTAAAAAATCAAAACTAAACATGAGCACTATTTTGTAATTGAACAATCAAAACATTTTTTAAATGTGAATGAAACTTCATTGTTACAAAAATCAGTGGTCATGAATTCATCTGGGATCTCATTCAAGAGGTTAAGATGCTGTTGTACCAAAAGGATTTCTATGAGGGCATCCAAGGGCGTGGATCTGGATGCGGCATTTAGAGGGTTTCTCCAATAACTTTCTCATTTCTGAGCAATATGTGGCAGAGTGTATGGCATTTCAGTATATATTTCTCTTCTTTAGTGTAAGCTTGTATATGAAACAGACCATTGTCATGTGGAGGATATCATTTCACCTTTATGTTCAGTGTTGATTGTCACAGCTCTGAAATGAACTTTGGACTACATCAACCCATAGTACAACTCTACAGTTCTGTATGTGACATAATGACTGACTCTCATCTGTTCAGTCCAAGACTCAGGCAATATAGCATCACTGGAGAAAAGACTATGTGGCTGTTATTAATATTATTTGTTCAGTGTAGACAAGCCTTCAGAGAAAGTTAAGTTTTCACCTGGATATTCTAGCCTGACTCATCAAGTTAAACTCAATAATAACCAACAAAGTCAGTAGTTCTTACCTTTTTGTTTAACGGAACCACAAGAAGGATTTATTTCTTTGGCGTTCTGGGGTTTTTTTTTGTTTTTGGTTTTTTTGTTTTTGTTTTTTTTTAATTTAAATGCATTAGTATCGGTTTAACGGAATATATTTGTGCACAACCCATCTTTAAGTTTAACAAATGATACCAACCATAATATTTCATTCAGAGGATAGCCATTTTTCCACTGCAGATGGAAAAGTGGTATATTCACAATGTTTTTAATTTCATAATACATATATTCTTCAGCTGAATAGCATTAGATCTACTCAAGTTATGCCTGTTGGAGGAAGGCAAATAAGTCAGAAAATACTACCTAGAAAATACTACCTGGACCACTAGTCAAAGCCAGGATAGTGTATTGTTGTCACCAGTCCTGGGGATCTTTAATGATATAGATGATTCCCTTTTATTATCATTTTTCATTTTTCATTTTTTAAAATAAAATTATTTAAGTTCGTTTCAAATATACAGTATATTGGTTGGACATCTATAATGTTCATAAAACGATCTCCCTAATTGCTCCCTCCCTCCCTTGGCCCTCCACTTAGCCATCATATTAATACTAACTGCATTCTCTCTAAGTTAAGGTCTGCATGGAAGATTTAAGTGCACAAAAAAACAAAAGCCAATATTCCCAGAGATTTCACAGAGTGAATAAGAACCTCATGTCACATTATTTATAGAAACTATTTTTCTATCCTGAGATCGGGACAGGAAAAATTGTAGGTTCATAGATTTTACTTAATGCCTGTTTATTAAAATTTACTTTCGTCCTTGTGAATGGAGCTGATGTTGGTATTTTAACCCTAATTTAGACCGCATATGTTGGAGAGAATTAGAAACTTGATTTTATTATTTTTCTTAGTTTTTTTTTGTGTACTTCTTAAATATGTAACAGATATATTTCATTCTGTTTTACTGTAAAACTTCAAGAGAATCAGCCAGCAGTATTTAATTAAATGTATTATGACAAGTGCTTACAGAATCCAATAATTTATATTTAGTAATTTGTAATGCCTTAAATCAATTCTTCTTTAAAATTGAAGATAGTAATCTAGAAACTTAGCGAATTCTCTTTGGTCACTTCACTAGAGTTTTTTCATTGGAGATAATGGGATGAGTGATAGACTATATAATTTCAGAATCTCAACTATTTTTAGATAAGGTATGCTAGGATTCTGAAGGTTTTTTGACTTCAGTCTTACTAGACTCTTTCCTCATTTACTATTAAGGCTAGTTGGAGTTGTATTCTTCAAGAAAATGTAAACATAGTGGTGAAATGAAAATAATGTGAGATTATTGGCTTTTGAAAAAGTTGAGACATGCTAGTAGTAACAGTGAATAACAAGTTATAGAAATGCAGCTATGCATCACAACCATGAATGAGAAAGCCTAAAGTTGGTTGGAGTCTGTTACCACTCTGGAAAACCTAATTTTGAGTCTTTGTTTATAAGTCACAGACATAAACCTTGTCTTGTGGGGGAGAAGAGTTAGTCTGCCTTTCAGGCAACCACAGCATTATAAAGAAACATGCTACTTTACACGAAGCTCACGTTTCAGTGCATGTGAAGGCATATGCTTATCCTCTCCTGCTTGCTGTAAATAGTCTCTCGGGTCTTCTGCTGTCAACTGGTCTCTACATGTCCCCCTGCCCAGGGAATTCAGGACCTGATGAGAATATTTCAGAGCTAGATTAGCCACTTTGTATATGTGGTCATGTTTCTTCAATCAGATTGTAAGTTCTTAGAGGGCAAGGACTGTTTATATTTTCTTAGTAGTTCCTGGCACATGGTAAGTGCTCAGTAAATACTTGCTTTGTTCAACTCATCCAAGCATAGTGAAAAATAGGAAGCCAGTCAATACCTCGGTATAAACCTGCTCGAGCTGCCTCCCAGGGCTATTGTGAACATAAGAACTGGAAATATTGGAAAGCCACATTCTCACCGGGAGCGGAGGTCTTCGTCTTGTACCCATGTGACTTGGATAGATACGGTGGCATATTGACACCAACTCTGTGTGCCTTCTCTTTGGCGTTCTCAGATTCTCACATCCTTAGTTTTGTGATATCTAAGTCGATTGTTACTGCAGTCTCCTGAAACGTGACTTCGGTTTTCAGGCTTGTCAGTAACACAGCACATGCTGCTAAGCAGTCCACGGGAAGGGCATGCGCTCTTGTGATACACTTCAGGAGCACAGCAAGGAGTGTTGCAGTGACTTTGTCTGTGACTTTTGGCACTCATGTCCTGCCATTACAAGAGCTTCCCAAACGCTGCCAGCTTTTGGATGTTCTAACAAGTTATTAAGCAAAGGACTAAAGCAGATAGAAGAATACTGAAACTATTAGATTCAGATATAAGGCGGTATGTAGAGAAATGGTACTGCCTCAAAGACATGAAATGTGATTTTGTTCCTGGCCCTGCGGTTTGCCAGCTTGAATGGCTTTAAGAGGTTACTTCATATCTCCAGTTCTCTAGGTCCTCGTCTGTACAGTGGGAGTGTTGGAGAAGAGGCCTTCCCGGGTTCAGTCTGACATTCTGTGAATCTGAAAGTGGGCAAGGAATGAGAGAAAGCGTTTCCAATTATGAGTTTAATAATCCTGCTACGATGAAGCAACTTGTGTGCAGTAGTAAAAATTCATAGACTTTAAAGAGGGATAGATCTGAGTTCAGATGCTTGCTCAGCCAGGTGCCAGCAGTGTGGGTCCTGTTTGGTTTTCATCTGCTGATTTCTCCTCACTTGAAAGGGAAGTGAATTACCCAGCCTCACAAGAGCCTTTTGCGTAGGGTGGGTGCTGAATACATGTTCTCCTTATGAAGAAAAACAGGAATAAAAAGGGCTCTATTGCTTCAGTTTCTATTGTTGCAATTCTCATAAGGTTACTTACTAGAGATTTCAACATCTATGTTAATTTTTAGCTCTAAAAGATTGGAACCCTTATTTTTTATTTGAGTTTTTATTTAAATATATCTGGAGAAATGTTTCAAATTCTGATTAGATTTTATATTGTGGGGAAAATAATGAAGCCATAAATCAATCATTAAATTAACATAAAAATGACATAATATTTTGGTGTAATGATGGTAATTGGGACTATTTTTTTTTTTAAAAGCGTTCTGAGTTTGTACACTTTAAGGATAGTTATTGATGTATTTATAGATGAAATGATGAAATGTCTTGGATTTGCTGCAAAATAAAATGGAGGGAAGAATGGATGGGTATAGAAATGAGATTGGTCGTGATAACATCATTATCGAAGCTGGGTGATGGGTACAAGGTGACTTGTTTCATTATTCTGCCTAACTTTGTAGATGTTTGAAATTTGTTACAGTAACATTTAAAAAAGAAAAGAGCTCTCTAAGTAAAAATGTAAAAATAATACATAGGTGCAGAGATGTCAGAGGGAGACATGAAAGAAACATTTCTTACTTATCCTCAGTGGGTGTTTTCTAAGGCCTGAAGAATCTGCCACAGGAAAGGAGCTGACCTGAGTCCTTGGACCAACCACAACAGTGTTGAAA